CTTCTGTTGCAAACACTATAAATACATAACCTTTGATAAGCACTTGGAGAGGATGCCAAGAACTGTAAGCTGGTGTGGGCGGCATTCAAGACCACCAGATAAACGTCCAAGCAACTCCCACGTGGCAGCACCACGCTTTGAAAGTATGTAATGCCAGGGCTGGATCCCAACGGCGTTGAAGGCATCGATTACGTCGTTAGTGAAAGCTGCGGTCAGATACGCTGCAAAAGGTAAGTACCTGTGTATTCTTGTGCTTGTTCCTGTTGTTAAAAACAAATGACGTGCGTAGTGGCGTGGGAAGAGACAGTGAAGAGGTGCCATGCAGCTCAAGAAGCGCTCGCGGAATGGCATCCGACAGCGTTGAAGAAGACGATAACGAGCTGCAATGGAAGGACGCCATTTTGCTGATCATTTTCTGGATTCCATGAGAGGAGAGGAGAAGGTGCTGGTGGTTTTGCGGCAGCACATTGCAGAGTGCAGCAATTTCTACCTGCACGAGCAGGTCGACTACCGCGTTCATGCCTATTTCGAGATGAAGAAACAGAAGGACATGAAGGACACGGCAGCTGGAAGACCGGTCATTACTACTGAAAACAGTACTGTTCGAGACATGCGCCAAGATTTTCTCTCTGTAAAGCCAATAAAGTCGCACCAGCTCTGCGTATACACTGACTTACTGGTTGCTATGACATCATCCCAAATTGGGAGGAGCGCGCAAATCACTACCGTCAGGATGGTGTCGGAGCCATTTCTCATGGTATTTTTGGGCAGTACGTGGCGCACGATCGTTTCTTGGAGAAAGCCGAAACCTCCGTTTCAACAGCGAACAAGACCACGTGCCAAATGTGATCGTGCTTGAAATATCTGCTCGGTATCAATGTTTTACAAAAGACATTTGCTAGCGTTCATTCCACCAATACAGCTTTCGTTTGACGATGCTATGCTTTCGTCGAGATCGTCGTACAACCCAACTCGAATGAATATGAAAGAAAATCCCCACATGTGGGGCTCAAAGCTATTTATGCTTTGCTGTACACGCTCCGTTTATTGCATTCATTAAGGGTGTTGATGTCCTTATGATGTATATACTTGTTTCGATGTGCTGCTAGTTTTGAAGTCTACTATGGTCAAAAGGGACATAATGCTGAGTCTGGAACTGTTGATATGAAGTCCGGTCCTGCTGTTGTTGTACATAACTTGCGTGCAGCATTTAGTGACGTTCCTCCTAGCTAGAAAATTGACCTGCAGTGATTGACCGCTTCTATGCATCCATCGTGTTGGCAGTGCAACTACGCTAATGGACTGCTACACTATTGGGACAATTATGACGAATCGACGCGGTTTTTGCAAGAACCTGACGACGAAGAAGAAGACAATACCCAAGGAATACCGTGTGGCGCACTGACGTTTACGCGCTCTAAACATGTGAGCAACATGACTGCGCTTTGCTGGTGGAACAGCAAGCCAGTGCATTCTCGTTTGGTTGGTGGAAATCTGATGCTTGATCGCGGTGTGCGTCGAGAGAAAAAAATGGTGACCTCAACGAAGTTGTGTGCCCAAAACTTATCAAGGACTACCATCGATTCATGGGCGGAATGGATGTTCACGATTAACTCCGCCTACAAAGATACTCCGTACAGCTGGCTATCATATCTCGCAAGTACTATCGCAGAATTTTTATGGGAGTGGTGGATTTAGTGATTACGAATGAGTACATCGTGAACCGCGCGTACAGCAGAAAGATGATGATAAAACCAATGACGCATGTCAGTACATGTGCAAGTTGCACGTTCAGCTGATCACTCTCACTGCGGACGAAATGCACGAAAAAAAACACATTTCAGGCTGGTAAGTTGTCCTATGCTGTGTATTTAGCATACTGATTGTGTAATACGGGAAAGATATCCTACTCGGTCCCCCTAGTATATACTAATTCCTATGTTCGCGAATGCTGTACATACACCACAGGGTAGACCAAAAATCGGTTTGACGGAGTAAGAAATCATGTGGTCGTCATAATCGGGGGGGGGG